TGAGTTTGTCTTTACCTTTTTGCAATTTTGTAGCTCTTGAATATCAAGTTGTTTCTCTCCTTCACCATGTGTTCTTCTAAGCATATGTAAAGTGTTAGGATCTACCTTTGCAGATGATTGGATCATGGATGTGGGCACAGGTAATTTACTCATTCCTTGCTTTTGAATGGGCTTCTCCAATTGAATTGACATTTGTTTAATTTGTCCTTTACTTGAAATATTATGTGAAGTGTTCAGATCTTCCCTTGAAGACGATTGGATTGATTCGTATACCGGTAATCTATTCCTTCCTAACTTTTGAACTAACACATCGGATTGAGTTAACCTTTGTCTACTTTGTCCTTCTAATGTTGCAGGCATACAATTCTTCCTTTTAACTCCAAGTAATGCATGCTCTTTAGCAGCTTTATTGTTGCGATCACTTGCAAGCTTTTCTCTCTTAATCTGAAATTTTTTGGCTAGTTCAGCACTTGATCGGTATTGGAAATCGAAACCTATATTCATCATTGGACTTTGAGCTTTGTTTGGATTCGGAACTTTTCTCTTAAGAGCTGCTGCTTGATTCATCCTACATACAAAAAATATTAAATTACTTTAGCCTAACAACTAGTAAGAATATATGCTTAGAAGAATTTAAACACCATAGTCAATTCCTCAACACCCTCCAAATTCAACCCAAGACTGCAGCAAAAATCTAGATGAATTTCAGCCCAAAATAGAATACTTCATTAACTGCTAGATTGAAGTGTTGCTTGAATATATTGTTATTCACAAGAATATTCTATGGTTCATATAAATGGATGGTTATGGCACTAAAATTATGTGTCTTATCTTTTCTAAAGGATTTTAAACAGCATAGTTCAAACCATGTGATGTCAACAGAGAGATTTCAATATGGTGGCCTTAAGGCAATGCAAGGCTACAAAATGTGGAGCATGATGAAGTTCATGGAAAGCACTGGTAAAAGCACAGAATTAAGGGTAATTCGATAACCTAACTTGGAAAAGAAAGGCAAACAATTATCCTGAATATTAACTTAATTTGAAGGTTTCTTATTTTATAAGAGGTTAGATCGTATGTAGGAATGTTTTCTAATGAAGAGACTTTCCACATACTTCAGGAATAACTACAGCTTAACAATCAGCAATGCACATTTCCATGTCATCTCTATTTCATTTGGTACTGGCAGTTTGTTTATCAAATTTACAATTTCGAGTCACCCGAAGTGTCATGATGCAGATCTACCTGGAGCTCTTCGCGTATTCAGAATTCAAAAAGTTTTAATCTTGTAGCAGGTGAGATAAATCTAGGAATCCAGCAGATTTTTGACACAGTAAGTACCAAAAACAAACCATGCTAGAATACTCCTTTTACACAAAAAAAATAGATTTTGCATACAAAAGTTCCTGACTCTAGAGATGTTCAGATTGTTCAGAAGAAGGTTATAGCAGCTTTTAACAGAGAACTTCAATTTATTGTTCGCTGTCCAGATCATAGAATCCTCTTTATCCTCTTCTACCAACAGACATTCAACAGAAAGTATCTATTTGACCTTATTAAACATCCTTTTGACAAAGGTTCAAATCACTAAGTCTGTTGTTATTGCAAACATCAATATAAAATGGAACAATGATACCTGTTCAATATCTCTTGGTTCCTTAAAATTGGTTAGTCCAATATCTTCTATGTGCACCACCTGATAATAATAAAAAAATAAATATGTATATACGTTAAAACTTGCTCCAATACTCCAGGTAATAGGACAATACAAATTCCGAAGCATAATTTCTACTTACCTCATAAGGGACACATTGAATAACCAATCAAGTAATTTCTAGTGATACGAAAAGGGACACATTGAAAATACATGAGTAGAAAATATATGTGCACATCAAAGAAATCGATCAGCAAGAAAATATTCAATATTGAACTTGATGAAATAGACAACATCAATTTAAATCTAAAGCAACAGTCTTTAATGTGTCTCTAGCTATTAATTAAAAATTGCTAACCTATTTTCTATTTGAATTAGAAAAAAAAACTCATTATGTGTCTTCAAAATCAAACTCTTCATCCGACTCAATTTCTAGTTGTTGTGCTAGAAATCCTTCTGGGGGTACATCAAGAATGGTTGCTGGAACATCACTCCTTACTAAGGCAACTTCACCATTATCCTCCGGTATAGATGGGCTAGCCAAATATTCAGATGGC